TTCAACACGGTTCTACTAAAAGAATTCGTCTCTAGTATATAAATTAACAAAATCTTCTTAAAAGAATGTCTAATCTAAACATTACAGTTCACAACACTAATGAAGAAACTAAATCTTGCACCCACTGTAATAAGATCAAATTAGTTGCTGAATTCGAGAGTCCAAGTAGAAAGGAAACTAAAATCTTTATCAGATGTAATTCATGTGCCCAAACTAAAAAGCAAAAAAAAAAGCTAAAAAGCGCAAACTAAATCTTCTAATAATAAAACTATAAAATCTATTTCCTCAAGTATTGAAAATACGCCATCCTTTCATTTAGATATCAATAATGAATCATTCCTTTATTTAAATACCGAACATACATCATTCCCTTCTTGGGTTATAGAAAATACAGAAAGTACACTATCCCTTTCCTGGACCATAGAAAATATATCATCCCTTTCTTTAAAAATCAAAAATATAACATACCATCTTTTAGACGATGAAATATCTTCTGATATTGATGATAGTGAAAATGATAGAAGTGAATTTATTTATAATATGCATGATCTCAAAGAGGCTGTATCCTTTAAATTTAGGAATGAAGAAATAGATGATCTAGTAAAATTCTCAATAAAAATAAAAATTGAAGAAGACTTGGTTAATGAAGAAAATTTATTTCTGGAACTTGATCAACAAATAAAAGATAAATTTTATACTATCATTAAAGTATCTCTTCAAAAAGGATCAGGGTACTACTGGGAGCTTCGAAATCTATACCTTAATATGAAGAATGGCCAGTATATAGGGTATGCAATAGCCAGTCTTGGCTGTACACAAAGAACTGATCATGAATATAAACAATTAGACAACCAACCTGTAAAAAATATAAGTAAAACTCGACCTCCCATTGAGCATTTCTCATGTAATGGAGTTATAACAATCAAAATGGATTTATGTGAATGGCTGGCAATAATGACTATACATCATCTAGTACATAAACGTTCCACTTACCGAGAATCAAATTTACCTATAGTTAATATAATATATAGTAAATTTTAGTAATGCTATACAAAATGAATTTCATTGTTTTAATTAAATTTAGAACAAACCTGACAATCCAACTTTTTTTTAAAAAAGTAAAACAAATTACATATATATACGTTTATAATATATATATATTTTTTTTATCTTTATATTTATAGATGCTATAGCATGGTTAAAGCAAAATATAAACAAAAATTGGTAAAAAATAGAAGTTTATAAATGTCTTCTTGATGAAAACTTAATCAATCTATCGTTATATACATACCAGCAAGTATATTATTAGACATATAAACTTTCAAGAATACGGTATATTACAAATTTTGCAAATCAAGTAAAATCGACAAAAATTTTTCTAGAACGGTAGGAGTTAGTAAACGAAGGATATAAGGTGGTTCAATATAGAGAAAATGATTTCATATGCTCACTTGGATTCGTTACACCATTCTTTCAAGATCTACAAAACCTACAAGAAGATATCACTGAGGTTATTATTGATTCAATGTTCAAAACAAATCAGGAACATTTTGAACTCTTTGTGGTAAAACATTCATATTTTGACTTACATAAAAATAGTAGTTTTCATACTTGCCTATTATATAGCCACCCAAAACAAATAATAACTTATCCAGATACTGGATAACTTAATAATATCTGAGTGAAGATATTTTTAACAGGTCCAATTTCTAATCTAAACTACTACAATTCTATATTTGC